TATATCATAATGTAAACACAATCATAGTCTAAATTTCGATATCACATGTCCTATTAAAGCATTCTCAACACAAGGTTTAAGCCTTGTCACTAGCATCGTCAATATCATGGTGAGTGTCGGGGTTATTTTATGGCATTGTCTAAGGAGATGTTGTATAAGAATTTTTTTTATAAGGTTATTTTACACAACACCACAATAATGAGATATTATTTACTTTGGGCCTAAGCCCTCACGTCAATGGTGATCACCTACAACAACATACATAACAACAAATACATGAAAACAAATAAAGTGAGAAATATCTCACTTTAACTCATAGCATGAAACAAGAGATGGACAACCAGACACAATCAATACATTCTTTATAACAATAACATCAATATTAACATATAGTTAACACACCAATCACAAGATATGTGTACGTAGTGCATATATAATGATTTGTCAATTTGCATGCATATGATGCATGTCACAACAAACTCAGTGTCATATCATATCTCAGTGTACATGCTCAACAATTTGTCTTACAATGATTTACCTTACAACGATTTGTTAATATCTCAACAATTTGCCAACATCATTTTATTTACAACATTCATTCATCATAAGCATCACAATTTCATATAATCATCATACTCAATCATATTCATAAAATAACATGAGAATCATTCTTTGAATAAGATAACCAACACACACAATACAATGTATCACACAAGAGTCACATATTCAGAGTTCAAACACATGTTTATAAACACATGTTTATACACTTTAGCCTGATGCACCTCAAGTCATTAATAATTAACTCATATTATAGCTTATTTACATTTGTTCTCTCTAATGATTTCTCTTTCCTAAATATTGTTTAGATATGTCAAACCATTCATAATGATTTCTCTTTAATGGGTAAAACTATTTATTATCACCATTTACAAACTACATTTTCATAATTTAATATTTTAAGACATTATATCGTCTAAACACATTACATACAATATCTTTTGTAACGAGTATGATAATCACTGAGTCATTACATACAATATATTTAATTTTGATATAAAAAAAAGTTATTAAAAATATAATATTAATTAAATGAGAAGTATTTTTAATAAATAAAATAAAATTGTTAAAAGTTACTTATATTTAAGTATATTAATCATATTAATTTTTTTATATTCGAGTGGATGGGATGGGAGTATAATTTTTCTTTAGGTGGTTTTGATGGCAAAATTTACCGACAAGGGCGACACACCACACATTTCCAAACGTACACGGCGTACACTACTAACTCAGATTACTGAGGTCTTTTAGGCATAACGTAATAGAGTAAGTAACATTAAATTAATTAATAAATGGTAATTAATGTCGTTGATTTTGATCACCGAAACCAGATTGATAACATTTAATGTTTTTTCTAACATTAATTTACATGAAAATTAATTTACTAGTGTTTTTTTTTGTTACACTTTACTGGTGGTCTAGAAGTGAAATTATGACAAACGAATTATTTTTCTAGTAAATTTTAAATATTATTGTAAAAAAAAGAATTTTAAATATTATATTACAACATAATTTATCTAAATATAATATATTTTAAAATGATAAAAAAATTCTTATTTTTTCAGTAGAATAAAACATTCAAATATTACGTGGAAACTAATTGTATCAATCAACTATCAACTTCAACAAAATACTATTAGTATTAGAGGACCATTCTCTTGTATTATAGATGTAATATTTTATGCGTAGCCCCTATCAAAATACGCATTCAACAATTTTCTCAAAAGGTGGTAATATTCCTTTTTCTTGTTCCCTTATATAAAAGAAGCAAATGGTAAGAAATCGTGACAAAAATGAAAACTCAAAATCACAAAAACACATATGGCGGCTATGAAAGAAGGGTGCTGCATATACCTAAAAAAGAGTTATGAAATTCTCTGTAAAACATTTAATGATGAAGCTAAAACTATTTTGGAAGTCAGACAACTTTTCCGAAATTTTCTAAATCTGACATATTTTAAGGATTTTATCATCCTATATACATTCTACACACTGACATGACATTTTTTATGCTTGACGAATACATTGTAAACATTATCTTAGAAGAAATGTGCTTTTCGTACATATGTTTGTTCATGTTCCTGCCATACTTATGTCCACACGATGATGACGACTAAATGTGAACAATTTGTTTTTCCTTTTCCTTTTTGGGGGTACCGAATTGCCTATATTAGTTGAACTTCTCTAACTGCACATGATCTTTGAGCTTGTGCTCCATTTAGTTGGCCGTAAACCAATCATTGCTTTGTAGATGACAAGTTTGCTTGGTTATCAGTGGCCTTAATTAAGGAAACAAAATGATAAAAGAGTATTCATAATAATCATGGCAGTAGAGAATGTTCAGGAGGGATCTTTGGCTTTCCAACAAGATTTCGAGATAGGTTAAAAATTTATTTTGGTTTTTTATAATATATTTTTTTTTAATTTAGTCTTACTTTAATTTTTTTGTTAAATTTAGTCTTTAATAATTTAAATTAGTATAATGTTGAACTTCCGTCCAAATTATTTAAACAAAGTTAATTGTTAGCTACGTGGATACCAGGTGGATGCCAAGTAGATACATAGGTGGATGCCAAATTTCTTTAATGCACCTGGAATTAGAATGTCATTCCAGATGCAAAATTAACACAACATATGCAACCAGAACGGACCGTTCCAGAACGCCAATCACATACGTACGTTCAACAAAATGTCGCAATATGGTTCTGAAATTGAAAATAAAAATTCATAACATAACATAAATTCAAAGACAGAAATATGGTTAAGAGATTGAAAACAAAAATTCATAACATAACATATACTAAGAAAGTTCAAAGAAATTACTAAGAAAGGAAATCATTTAGATAACGCTGAAGGTGCTAATAATACATCTTATCCACCATATAACATTGAATAACTGACAGGATATCAGCATTATCTACCTGTACATGTGATTGTGTGGAGAAATGTTGGTCCTGTGTGTCCTTTTCCTTTACTTCAAGTTGTACCTCCTCAAGAACAGGTTGTTATTGTTGGGGTACATCGGTTAATGACTTCAAAGGAAAACACCATGTCGTTTCATCCTTGACTATATAGTGTTGATTTGGTAGTAAGTGGTTCACTATAGTTTGACTAACAATGAAATAAAATTTGTCACCATTGTCCTTAGTGATATACTGCATTGTCCTTAATGATACACTGTATAACCCAAATGTTTAGCAATTGAAGTTATCAATCCCCATTGATAATATTACCAAATTCAGTGTTTGAAATGCTTTGTACCTTGGGTTTTTTTCCTTGCATGATTCACAATCATGATTTAGAATCATGGACGTGAACTATAATCATCGACCGTTTGTATTTGGCATTCTGGAACCATAACAGTCCATTATGGTTACACTATTGGTGTGTTAATTTTGCATCTGGAACGGCCCGTTCCAGGTGCAAAATTAACACACCAAGAGTGCAACAAGAACGGATTGTTCTGGTTCCAGATGCATTAAAGAAATTTGCCATCCACCTATGCATCTATGTGACATTCACGTGGCCAACAATTAACTTCATTTAAATAATTTGGACAGAAGTCTGACATTGCATTAATTTAAATTATTAATGACCAAATTGAAACCAAAAATTAAAATGAGACTAAATTGAAACAAAAAAAAAATATTATAAGGGACCAAATTAGGTTTTAACCTTTCGAGATATTATCACAAACTTTTAGAGTTAATCACCTATACACTGTCAGTGTAAAGTTTTTTTACACTGATAACCAATTATATTTTTTAATCGTGTCATGTCACTGTTAAAAGTAAATGTATTTATAGTATCATGACACAATTAAAAGATATAATTGATTGTCAGTGTAAAAAAACTCTACACTGACAATATATAGGTAATTAACTCATACTTTTATTCAAACATTTTTCACATAATTAATTAATTGAAAATTATTTAAAGTGTATTTTAAAAGTTTTTTATTATTCCTTCAAAAAAAAGTTTTTTTATAATAAAGTAAAATAATCTTATTATATAATACTTTATATCAAATGATAATAGATATACTAATTAAATTGTAAAATATTATAAACAAATATATTGATTATATGACTTTAAAAATAATTTTAGAAGAAGAAAAATTTGTACTCACCTCGCCTGAAGTATGTTTAAATAACACAATTCTTCTCTAATTTTTTAAAATTATTCATCTCTTAAAATAACATTATTTATTAAAGTGATAGTAAAAAAAAAAAGAAAAAATAATTTATATTTTATCAATCATATATGTCTATTTTTCGTTTCTGAATTACATATAATATTTATTATTTTATAAAAAATTTCATTATCCTTCAATTTTAAAAATATTAATTATTAATTTATTTTTTAAAATTTTTCTTTGAAATTATTATACTTTTTAAATCACAACATATATAATATTTAATATATAATTTGAGAGTTAAAATTCAGTAAAATATCAAGTTTCATTCAATTGTTGACATTTTCATTAATAATTTTTTTTATAATGTACAAATAATATTATTGTTGAATTCCAAATGTAAATTGTTAATTATAAAAAGGTTAATTAAAATTTTAAATACTTGTAAGAATATAGACGTTAATACGTACACCAGGTATAATAGTATACTTTTTATTTAATGTTATGTATAGTAGTTGTAAAAGAATAATATTATAGTATATAGCAATGGATAAAAAATATTACAGTATATATTAAATTTATTAACTTTTATAAAAATTACTTTTAAAAACCAACTTTTGTGAATGTTTTTTTAGTTAGTAATATAAAAACTTTTACAAGGAAACATTAAAATTAAATGATTTTTATATTTTATAAATAATAAATACTTTTCTGGTTGGACTTTCATTTTCTAACAACCATGAGAAGTATTTTTTATTTTTGATAGCATACAAAAATGGTAAATTACTGAAAAAGCCGTGGCATTAATATTATGGACAGTGATTGAGAAGAGGATGCACAAAAAGAGAATTAAATTAGTTTGTTGGATGAATTTGAAATGAAAATGGGTGATAGAGAAGCAGAATGCGAGGGTGGTGGCTCCACTCCCAATCCAAAAAGCGGAGAAACCCCAGTCTCAGACGCCGTCGCTTTCAACAATCAGAGTGAAATACTGAGAGCGATTGAGGTTGTGGAGCGAGATTCGTTGGCCATCGCTCAGAGTTACACTTCTCTCTTCGCCTCTCTCCGATTGGCACTCTCCGAATCCACCACCACTTCGCTCCATCACGTACACTGCTTCACCGACGCCACCGGTCGCCTTCAGGAATCTGGTACCCTCATTTCTCTCTCTAATTTCAAATCATTATCATAATCATCATATTAAACATTTATCTCTGTTTTTATAGTGCTTGATGCAGCAACCAAGGGGAATCGCTATATAAATTCCTGTCTCAGGTATTACTATTATTATTTTACTATCTTCAATCAGAATTTAGTTTATTACTCTCTATATGGATGTTCAACTTAGAAAACGGAAATATCGCGTAATAGAAAACTAAAAGAATTTAGATGAAGCTTCCTGTTGAAGTTGGATAGTTTCCAATCCATTATCATCATTATTTTTTGGGGGTGCAGATTGAATGAGGAGATGAAGAGTGTTGATGATCTCGCCTCTCAATTGTATCCAATCACTTTGCTATTTGCTATGATTTATTTTACATTTTTTTTTCGTGCATAGTGACTGGCTACTCATCTCACAATCTTTTTCTAACATGGGGCTATTTCTTTATTCTGGAATGTTTATATTTGCTCAGAATAAGGATTTCTATGCTGTCAATTAATTAGAAAGTATCATTAACTTGGCTTTAAAAGTAATTATTTTATAAGTTAACAATTTTCGGTTAAATGACAATTTAGTGTAAAAAACCTTTATACTGAGTGTATCATCTTGCTAGTGAAGAAATACTACACTAAAGTGAGAAAGCCTTTCGTTTGCAAGTGATGGTGCGTCTAGTATCTGGGAACTTACTCTGATTTAAGGGTGAATACAACCTTATGCACTTCAGAGGGTGCCTTATTCACTATTTCTGTCTAGGACTTGATTAGGAACACTTTTGGATTGTTAGGTGATCCTTCTTTGATTTTAGTTTTCAATTGCATCCTTAATGGTTTGAAGAAAAATCTTAAGAAAGCATGTAGATGCTCTGGACTCGGCTGTTAACAAGATTCTTCAAGTCCCCTGACACCTGGTGATTCAGTCCTGTACAAGGTTCGCTTCCATGTCCCTTAACAGTTGAAATATCTATCTATACATTTGTCATTTAATATATTGTGCTGAAACAGTGATGAGATGCAAGTAAAGCAAAAGATTTTTTTTTTCTTTTTTTTTCTCTTTGGGCAGTTAATATAGGGGGTAGAGAAATGGTGAAGTTTCCCCTCCCCCCCAGTAAACACAAGGGATAAAGAGTTTTCAGATCGTTCCCTGTGTCACATTGTGTATATCACAAGATTTTTCTAGTGGACAGTATGGTTGAAGTTTTAGATGTTAATGATTTTATGTCCGTGCCTTTGTCATGAGCGTTGGTGTTGTTAACAGTTGTTTGGATACAGAACTCTAGGAATAAAAGTATTTACAGACTAGAGTAGCATATTTTGATGCTTTATTTGGTTCTGAAATGGGTTGTATTAACATTATATGCTTCTTGTTGAGAAAGCCTATGCCCATCCATCTTGCGGAAAGATGGGGTGAGATATTTTTTGTGTGATGCCACACTCGCTGAAAGAAAAAGGTGTAAAGGTAAAGAAAAAAATAAAGATGGAATATTTGGCACATGTATAAGAATAAGACCTTTTGACCGACTAATCCTGGATTCTACATGTTGCACTGGCAAACATGAATACGAATATTTCGAACCCAGGCTCATGAATTTTATCTACAAGACTACTTGAGCAATTTTCCAAATTTTCTATAAAGGAACACCGATAATACTCTCTTTCAAACACTTCATTATTGATTAAAATTTATTATAAATTATAAGTTTTGGTGAGTCTTTCTTCTTATTTGCCGAGTCTTTTTCTTGATTTAGAAATGAGACTCATCAAATTTGAAATTTTTCAATAAATTTTAGTATACAATAAAAGATGTTAGAAATAAAGTGTTAAATAGATAATTACTAGTATTGCTTATTTTCCATGATACTCTTATCTTCTGGGTGGAAAGCCCAACTCTATTTTAAATACGTATTGCTAGTATTCTGAATTAGATCAACAGACAACTCACTGCTAGCTAACCTATAATTCATATGTAACCCACATTTATTGATGGTAAAAGTGGGTAAATGACGGTAATGATGGATGAACTCACTAAAGGAGAGCTCAATATGATGTATAGTGAATTTGATTATTCAAAATAAACCCTCTGTATAATCGTTTTGTTTAGGTAAATTATACACATAGTTTGCAAGATATAATAGAGTTTGGATCGATATTGGAAAGACAAATATGTAGGCTTCTAGCCTGTTCTATGAAAGAGATTATTTAACTTAGTAGCTCCTAGTAGTTTGAATTTTTTTTAAAATCTTTACCTATATTAAATTCTAATCAATTTTTTTTAATTGTGTAGAATAACATTTTTTTTTTATCAAGGTGGTCTCAAGCATGTGCTTTCCTTGTTAAGATGCATGGATGCACCTTCTATCTCAGCCGGTAGATGGTGATATTTAATTATCAACCATAAATGATTCATAATCAGTTACCGTAAAAAGTTGATGCATCCATGCGCTCCAGTTCTTGAATAAGTATATTGTAGAAGCCACCTCTTAATCATATTTTCTCTAGTGTCGTTTGTAGACATGTAATTTTAATTATTAAACCCTTTCAATTCTAGACATGCAGGTCGGGAATTTGAACCTCTTTCACGTTCAGTGAGTGAAGCCTCGAACCTAAACTTTCCCAATACTTTTTTATAAGCAAGCACCGTATGATAAACAAGTTCACTGCTATATCAGTGTCTTTTGCACTAAAACACTTGAAAGATTTAATTATGGAATGTTGAATTGAAATATTGAATTTTCAAGGGCAACACGAGTTTACATGATCTGGTTATTCAAATTTAACGATTCAAGTGAAACATGACTCTATCCCAAGGATCAGGACAAAAGCAAAAGCAATTATCTCTTCTCGGGTCAGGTGAAACTGTGAAAGAGAACTCCCAACAAGTGCGAGAAAAAGGTAACAACTAAGAAGATACGAGGGAAAAAGAATATGTTTTATTCTTTACTCTTTACACTTTAAGTTTATTATCATAGATTCGATGTATGTTGATGTGTCACAATGAGCTGAAAATTTATTTAACGTGGATTTATGAATGTAACAAAAAAAGAAATTAACAACCAGTAGAGCGATACTTCTTAATCAAATGTCATTAATTTGAACATAAAAAAATATGAAATAAGCCAGTAATTTTATTCTTTATAAAAATAACAAAGTAATATTAAAAATTATTATACAACTACATATATATTTCTTTAATTTTATGCACCCCTTCCTGGACCTGGGCCATCAACCTCCAAATGAAGTCAGAGCACTGTGGCTATTTTCAAGAATTTTTCAATACTTGAGGCCTGAGGGACTATGTCTATGTAGCACGATTATTTACCGTTTCATTAATTCAAAAACTACCAAAGAGATAGAGTAATACTATATAAACCAAACTAATTATATATTGGTAAATGGTACGATTTTTTTTTCTTCATGAAAATGAAAATAGATTCCAGATTAAGTTTTGTTATATGATACGAAGTTCGGACCACTTTTGTATGCATTTAACAAATCGAAAAGTGTTGAATGGTACAAAGAATAATTTCATGAAAATGAAAATATATTTCTCTACTCTTGTTTATACGGTATGAACCACGTTTGGATGTACTCAACACATAGATGTATTCCGTCGAAGTGTCGAACTGACGAAGCATAGATAAATAGAAGAAATCAATGATATTTTATAGTTTAGAAGCAAATTATGGAGAAATTATTGCGAATCAAGAAAGAATAGTGGAAGTCACGCAACGATCCAACTTGTAATACCGTCCGTTTATATCAATTGATTAACGTTGTGTTTGGTAATTGGTACAGTTTATATATTTACATGAGAAATGGGAGGGAGAGTGAAGAAGAGTACCAACTTCTAAACGTGGAATACATCAATAATGTGTAGAAATGGGAAGGAGAGGGGAAAAAAACTTCCGCATTGATATGTGGAGATTGGAGCAGATATATACCTGCTTTTAATATTTTATGGGACTACCACTGCTCTCATCTACATTCGATAAAATGATATAATCGATTATATTTTATGTTTTCTACTTTTTTTTTTAATGTTACTTATAATCAATTAACCCTTTAACTACTAAAATTGGTTTAATAATGAAGTAGTTGAGATAATATGCATAAAATTCTATTGAATCTTATTGTTATCATTATAATTTTAATAATAGATAAAGATAAAAAATAAAAAATAAAAACTAACTCTTTACACCTTCTCTCCACAAAAATTAATTAACACCCATCTAACCTTATTTTATATAATAATTAAATAATAATAAAATGCATGGATTACAGTATTTTATAATTATTTATTTTTAAAAATCATATAATTTCTTAAAAATATATTTTTTTTCTATTTCTTTTTAACCAAAAAAATTGTATTTCTATTATTTTTTTTCCTATTTTTTGATACAATGTTTTCTGTTTGAGCTCATTGAAAAGTGTAACAACTAATATCCAAATACAGTCCAAGTCATGCAAAATTTTGACTTAGTGTTGGTTTATGTTGAAGAACTTACATTAAATTGTAATATAACCAAATTACTTTACGCAAATGGGAAGCACTTTTGCTTATGAACTAACATTTGAATTTGAGAGATTTTGAGTTAAGTCCAAATTAGAATTCTACAATTAGAATACATTTAAGTGGTTGTTGAATTTATTACCATTCTTTATTGACCTGCTGTTACGAGGGAGGTCATGATGGAGCAGCTGTGCAAGCACTTAAAGCGTGAGTGAGTTCTGTGGGTCATTATCGAATAATACTCGTAGTTTTCGTTGCAGGGGAGGGGGTGAACCATGGTCTTTTGTTTGAGGAGATAATTGTTAGGATGCAAAGCAAAGTCCTACATCGTTCAAATAAGAGGATAAACATTAGTTTATACACACACAATTGTATTCATTGGTAGATAGACTCTTTGGGTGGTATCCAAAAGCAAAACCGTGAGGGCTTTGATCCAAAACGGACAATATCTTACCAACATGAAGTGGTGGTAATCCCCCTGGTGCACAAGATTAATTACATATATTTAATCCTATAAAATTTTGTTTTTTAGTATACGAGATGTGTATTAGAAATTTCACATTAATTAGTAATATAATTAAAATAATATATATACATAAGAAAAAAATTCTTACTCTATAAAATGACTTTTTTAGTTAGATTAGGTTGAAACCTACATTATATAAATTGATAAAATAATCTTTCCAAGTCACTTGTGTAAGAAATTTTACATACATCATGATATATTATTGCTCAATCTTACAAGAATCATAATTGTATATATTAGAACTTCATAAATTAAATAAGATGGTAAGATGACTTATCTCTTAAAACAATGACTTTGCACTTTGTTTCTTGAACTCACTTCTAAAGTTCTTAATGCATAAATTAAATATGTAAATTTTTAAAAAATTTAAAAATTATTTAATATTTATTTTCATTAATTCGAATCAATGTATAAAATAACATATTATTCGTTTCAAGGAATGATATTATATTTTTGACAATCATATTTATAAAAATAATATAATCTGAAATATTATTTCAAAGAATATAAGAAAAGATGTTTCAAGAATATTAATTACCTACTTTTATGCATGATCCAACTTATGAGAATATAAACTTATCAGAAATAAAAGATGTCAATGACCTTTTAACAAATAACAAAATAAATATTTTGATCTTTTATATTCTAAAAATAGATTAAAAAAAATAACCCGAAATAAACACAAGTGAGTTATCAGACAACATGACATCATGCCGTGCACTTCCTGTCTCATTGTTTGTTTTAAATTTTTTTTATAAGATTATATTATTGACGCTCATGAACTTTTGAGAGCAATCGTACAAATTCAAAAACAAATACAATTCTCAATCGTGCATGTGCTACACAACCCACGCACTGCTCGTGTCAGATGTTACAGGTGGCAGTATTTTGCCAACACAAACTACTAGTTTCATTTCAAGGAAAATGAAAATCAATTTTATCCTATATTTTTTATTTAAATAGTAAATTTAATTTTTGTGCCTTAACGTTCATAATTAGAACAATAGTAGCTTCAAATGAATATTTATCTTTAAGGTAGTGTTTGTTTTCCGTGATTTACTGTTTACGAGCAATGAAAGGCGAAAAAAGTGAGTGTTTGTTTCCGGTGATTTGCAAAGAAAGAAAAGCGAAGAAAAGAGGGAGAAGCTCTGTTGCCGTCCTTGCACAAAAGCGAAGAAAAGAGATGAAAGCCACGTAAGATTTGTGAAAACCCGATAATACCCTGCCCAAAAACTGAAAAGAGATGAAAAATTGAAGCAAAAATATGCTAACGTAATCGATTATGCTGCCACATTTTCGCTTCCAGGCGTTTCCAGAATGGACCGTTCCAAAATACTAAAACAAGGCTAATTTAGTATCCTGGAACGGGCCGTTCCAAAACTGGAACGCGCCGTTCCAAACTAGTAAATTGGTTTAAAAACATTAGTTGAGAACGGGCCGTTCCAAATTGGATAAAATGCACCCCCAAATTTATAATGTTAAAAATTTCTTATTTTTTTAATTGGTAAAAATTAACTTATACAATTAACAAATGTATCTTCATTTCATTCTAATTTATGTTAATGATTTATCAATTTTTTTAATTTATTAATTAACTTTCAAAAAAATTATTATACATTTTTTTATATTAAGAAAATTCTATTATTTAAATATTGACATCAAAAACTAGAAATATAAAAAATAAATAAAGTAATACATGTTTATAAAATTAAAATAATAACACTTTCACAAACATTAACAAAATAATGTTAAAAAATATAATTATCATAATATAATTTATTATTATTATTTATTACTATAAATATTATTATTATTATCATTAAATTTAAAGCAAATATTTAAATTAAAATTTTTAAATTAATATCTTATATTTATTTTTTTAGTTAAAATTTTTATATTTATCTTTTAATTATAATAATTATAAACTTTTTAACCTAAGGGCAAAATAGTAATCTTACAAAATCATCAATTAAAAATTTTATTTTTATCTATCACATCAATCAATTCACTTACAAACTTTTACAAACTTTCTTTACACTTTCCACTCACTTTCCCTTAATCCAAACAACCTCACTTTTCACTCACTTTCTCTTCAAATCCCTCCTTTTCCACTCCCCTTTTCCATCTTCAAATCCAAACAAAGCCTAAATGCCGCCATGTTTTTTCATTTTCATGCATTAAGATATAATAAGAAACATGTTTTTCTATCTTGAATAAGAAATTGCGTTAAATAATTAAAAGAGTTTTTTTTTCTTTTCATATTAACCTTATTTAACTTGATCAGACTCTTGCAAAATAAAAATATATATGTTGTTTGTAAAGAAAAAAACGAAAAATCAAACATACGCATAGTCTTGTTATTTCTACGTCTACGTGTAAACATTGGTTCTCATAATCGCTCGGATCAATATAATTAATTGTTTGAACTATGCTAAAAAATTTATTCTCTGTGGAAATTTGAAAATATATTTAGCTTGCGGGAAACTGCTTATTTATGTAGATAAAAGGAAAAAATCTCTTGAGCTAGATTTTCTAGTTTGGAATTACGTACATGATTTCTTGTGCTGACGGCTCACGCAACGACTACCTTTCGTTCATGGATTTGGATTTTAGTACGTTGTTTAATTTGATTGAATATTGACGAACAACAATGGAACCTATCTCATCCATCGTTTTCCTTTTGCTAATTTATCATTAACTACAAAGCAGTGTTAGGGAAGAAAATTTATGATAGCAATAACAAAAGTTTATAGAGAAACGACATAATTAATTGTTTTTACAGCTCTTTTAAACATGATTGCTCTTATAAAGAGATTTTAAATCTATCTTAACTCTTTGTAAATGTTCTAGGAAAGGAATAATAGTCGAAGAATTTTTAGTAATATAAACTTTAAGAAAACTTAACCATTATTTTAGCTTAAAATATTCAAATGAATGTAATATATCTTTGTGTAATTTAAAACTTTATATATATATATATATATATATATATATATATATATGTCATATTAAGGATATAATTTTTTTTTCTTCAATCTCAATTCCTTAAAATATGCATGGATCTTATTCCTATATAATAAATCTATGATATGCATTTATAATTATATCCGAATCTATGCGAGATTCGTGAGAATCACGATCTTGATTGATTTTGGGGAGTTAACTCAATAAACAATTTGTGAGTAACTATGAAATATGGCATTCTCGATCGGATGGCAATCCAAAGAGTATATATATGACCCTTCATAATTGTTTGTTAATCGTGTGAGGGACCTCTATTCAACCTATTTGATCAACTAGGGACATGCTTGGTCAAATGAGAACTGTTCAGTCAATTGGAGACTTAAAAGATACAATAACAAGACTAATTTATATATTAGAGATTGTTTTTACTTAAGTAATCTGGTGACCTGTATGCACCCATTAACACAAGGATTCAACCAAACCATTGCTCTTAATTATTGTAATGTAAGGTCACAAAATGAACCATGTAAGGTGTAACATACCTATACATATGGTAAGTAGTAGTTCAGCCAGAACAATATTCATTAAATCAAATGCAGCATTAGTGTATATAAATTGGACAAAACTCGGATACAATACTATAGTTACTGTTGGTATTATTTTTTTAATTAGAATTGAAGTTTTACTTCAATAATATGTATTAAGTGACAAGGTGAAACTTCAATTCTAATCCAGAAGAAATATCAATAATATAGTATTATACCTAAGTTTTGTCCATATAAATTAAGTACCATGCAATGAAGAAGATCTTGCTTTTTTGGCAGTTCTCATCAGTTGTGAAATCAAAATCATAGACCGCATAACGACACTCATCAGCAGGAATATCACGCACTATCTGTTGTGAATCCGATCGTACATTTATTAATATGTATTGGTTTCATATATAAATCATTTCTATACCATAAACTTCCCAACAAGTGATATAAAAAATGGAATGAGACATTAATTAACAAGAATAGAAAAACAAAGACATCAGACATACATCAGTGTCACCATTCTTTCAGTAGCTTTGATGACTGCACAAAAACCAACCAAGTGGTCAGATTGGCAACTTGGTAGAGAACCAACCGATGCTACTAATCTTGAACCCTTCAAGGAAACTGAACAAGGATGGAGGAGTACAAGGAAGAATGAATGATGCATATGCATATCATTTTGGATTAGTCATTGTTGAATCCAAGGTATACTAGGCAAAGAAACATGGCTCCAAAAGTTGCCAAATAGTTGGGAATTGATCCATAACAATAAAAGGAGGGCATATTAGATGGCTCGGGCTTTCACAAGGTCCAAGCTCATCTCACTTGGATCAGTTGCTTGCATATCAACTTGAATGCCATCCAACTCTCTCTTGAATCTATCCTTGGAACTTGCATACACCATCTTCATCCTCACCTTTGAGGTATCTGGTGACCTGTATGCACCCATTAACACAAGGATTCAACCAAACCATTGCTCTTAATTATTGTAATGTAAGGTCACAAAATGAACCATGTAAGGTGTAACATACCTATACATATGGTAAGTAGTAGTTCAGCCAGAACAATATTCATTAAATCAAATGCAGCATTAGTGTATATAAATTGGACAAAACTCGGATACAATACTATAGTTACTGTTGGTATTATTTTTTTAATTAGAATTGAAGTTTTACTTCAATAATATGTATTAAGTGACAAGGTGAAACTTCAATTCTAATCCAGAAGAAATATCAATAATATAGTATTATACCTAAGTTTTGTCCATATAAATTAAGTACCATGCAATGAAGAAGATCTTGCTTTTTTGGCAGTTCTCATCAGTTGTGAAATCAAAATCATAGACCGCATAACGACACTCATCAGCAGGAATTTATTTAAACCTTTTGTCTTTATATATGATCTTATTATCCAATTTTTTTTAAGAGTGTAATAATCATACATAGTCTCTTTTATATCATCAACCGATAATTTTTATCCAAACAAATTTAAAATAATTATTATAAAGTTCAGCAAAATATGATTGTGGAAATTTTATTGTGATCGGATGATATCTTTGTTGCTTTTAGTCGATTTATGAGTCGCCACTTTAAATATGTCATGCTTACATGAAGATTTTCAATAGTGGGATAAATATGTTTGGAAATTTTTTAGCACATTTAACCAAAGAATAAATGGGTAAACTGTGGGTGCCGGTGGGTGTTTCTTGTTGGTAAGTGAGTGAGTAAATTGTCCTCAAAACACCTTGTTTTACACGCATGTCAACCATGTATTTTAATTATAATTCATTTGGGTTGTAACTTGTAACTAATTTCAAGTAGCTTGTTCACCATTGTATGGAAATAAAAAGGAAAAATAAAGTTATATCAAGAATAATGCTAAACATAAATTATACACATGCATCTCTCATCCCTCAATAAATATTTGATATGATTACAGTTAGTTCTAATTGGTTTCATCAGCACTGTGTAAAACAAATTTTGTCATTTGACACATGTGAGATGATACGAAATTAGAAGATATGTATCACGCACTATCTGTTGTGAATCCGATCGTACATTTATTAATATGTATTGGTTTCATATATAAATCATTTCTATACCATAAACTTCCCAACAAGTGATATAAAAAATGGAATGAGACATTAATTAACAAGAATAGAAAAACAAAGACATCAGACATACATCAGTGTCACCATTCTTTCAGTAGCTTTGATGACTGCACAAAAACCAACCAAGTGGTCAGATTGGCAACTTGGTAGAGAACCAACCGATGCTACTAATCTTGAACCCTTCAAGGAAACTGAACAAGGATGGAGGAGTACAAGGAAGAATGAATGATGCATATGCATATCATTTTGGATTAGTCATTGTTGAATCCAAGGTATACTAGGCAAAGAAACATGGCTCCAAAAGTTGCCAAATAGTTGGGAATTGATCCATAACAATAAAAGGAGGGCATATTAGATGGCTCGGGCTTTCACAAGGTCCAAGCTCATCTCACTTGGATCAGTTGCTTGCATATCAACTTGAATGCCATCCAACTCTCTCTTGAATCTATCCTTGGAACTTGCATACACCATCTTCATCCTCACCTTTGAGGTATCTGGTGACCTGTATGCACCCATTAACACAAGGATTCAACCAAACCATTGCTCTTAATTATTGTAATGTAAGGTCACAAAATGAACCATGTAAGGTGTAACATACCTATACATATGGTAAGTAGTAGTTCAGCCAGAACAATATTCATTTTTATTGGATTTGGTGTATGAATAATATGGTAGTAATCAATTTTTAATAGATAACTTAATTAAACTCTATGAAACCAACTTATAAGTTAAAGAATGCTCTACCAATTATATACTTTATTTTAATCTCATTTATAGTCCTTAAATTTTTTCTCATTGAATTTCACCTTTAAATTAATAGAGACTTATTAAATGAGATATGAGACTTATCAAAATTTATTATTTCTACATTAACTTCAACTAATGTTAGGGAAGATACTAGAAGGGAAAAAATATTAGAAAATGTTATTAGCATTTTTCTTTATGTAATTAGGTAAAATTTATTGAAAATTATATAATTGCGAGAGACATTCGTTAAAAGAGATGTAAGATCCACAATTCTTTTTTTTTTATAGAGATTTTCAATAAATGTTAACTACTCCTTCTATTTTGTATAACTTTCAGCAAATTAAAAACAATTTTATTTAATTTTAATTTTATAATATCAATGAGCCATTAAATACATTTTCCCTATTACTTCCTTGATTGTTTATGGTGGGGAAAGAAAATATAAAAACATTTTAGAGGGAATCTAATTAACATGAAAGATAAACGATTTTTTTTAGAAGAAAGATAAACTATATATAGTTAAATTAATTCATCATGATCAATAATAAAATAGTTTAATTAACTAATTTTAATTAGCAATATCACAAATTTGAAATGTATTTCAAAAATACCTTTTAAATTAAATGTTTATATGAAATGACATTGTAACTTATTCAAAAGTTTTATAAAATAGTGTGACTTGTATTATAACTCTTTCCGTCTTGTAATGGAATTTGAGGTTTTTACATATAAATTTAAATTTGTAACACCGTAAGTTTTAATTATTGGTTTTTAGCAATAATTGTGTATTTGGTGCTTAAGGTGCGTTGTGAGATTCTGAGAGTTGAGGAACTCTTAGGAATCTAGTTAGCTTTAATTTGAGGATCTTTGGTTAGGGGTTCAGTTAATCCTAAGGAAAGGTAGTATATAAGGTTTATATTGAGAGCTAAGATTCATAAATTTATGTTCTCCAAATTCTAGAGAGAAAACCTAGAGAGAAGTGATATGGAATTGTGGATCCTCTTATTCTCTAAACTTCCTCTTTGTCAGATGATTTGATCCCCAAAATCATTTATGTGTTTTGTGTGTTTTTAGGTATTGACGAACCTTAAATTATAGTGATTGGTGTGGAGCCGTTGTTTGGAGCTTGGAGTCATCTTCCCCTTTCTTCTTCTTCTTCATTTTTGGTTGCTCGAAGTTAAGATAAAGGAAGCTAGGACGGATTGAATGGTTGATTTGGTGAATTGTTTGTTGTTGTTTTCATCAAATGTGAGCATGTATGTGGCTGAAATTAGATTGAATTGTGAAGGAAGGTAGCTTTTGGTAATTTGAGCTATGGAGGTGATTTTAGATGATTTCAAACAATTGGGGTTTCATGTTGTCGTGTAGCTTAGAAATGAGTTGCATGGAATGTCTATACTTTTTAGTGTTGTTGCATGCTTGGTTCTGCTATTTTTTAGGTGAATTGAAGCAATTTTCGAAGTCTGCAATTGTAGATTTCAGATGTTGTGCCAAGTACACCTTCGTAGCATTAGGTGCAGTTTTAACTAGAGGTCTTTGTCTTATCCATACTGAGTGCAAGATTAGTGGCACTGGCGCCTGGGGAAAAAGACTTGTCTCAAGTTACGATGGCATCAAGCATGGGAGCAATTGGAAAGTCTTTGACTTTGTGATGACTTTCTGCCTGATATGAGCCAGGCGTAAATTTTGCCACGTCAAACGTGAGGTTCTAGGGGTTTCCTATCTCAACCATATCGGTCGAGGGTTAAATGGCACTAGACGTGAATGAGACAAAAAGTTCCCTGTCTCAGTGGCGTCGAACGCAAGGTAAGTTACATTGGACACGAGTTGTGTTGATGATACATGTGGTTTAAGGGGTGAATTGGTGAACATGAATAAAGTATTTGAGTTTATTGTATATTGTATGATATATGATGAATGTCGAGTCTCTCTCCCCCCCCTCTCTCTCTCTATATATATATATATATATAT